GAGGCAAGGCCAAAATATCAAATACTAGCTGAGCCCACGGTTTCACTCGCGTGAAATTTATAGCCTGTGTGTTATTCTGATGTATCAATTATAGTATTGTAAATTTTAATTAAAACAGTTTCACACACACAAGTTTTCGCTTGAAAGAGTAACAAACATCCATCTGTCCATACTCACAAATTTCTACGTTTATACTAAGTAAGATAGTCACGGGTCTGCTAAGTCTGTTAGTCTTATAAAATAGGTTAATACTAAAATTACTATCTATTCACCGAGGTTTCGCCCACGAGGGACTCGTTATATCCAATGCACGTGGGAATTTCAAGATATTGCTTATTAACAGACGCCTACGTAGTAAAAGCGACTTACACTCAAAAATTCAAGTTTCTGACCCCCGTGATTTAGGTTACGCGACGATAAATTCGATTCAAAAATCATTTATACATATTGGATATTTTAGGCGCATATGAACGTCAAATATTTTGTATTATAATTTTGTTTCCTACCGTCCAGTATACAGATCCAATTGAGAAGAACTGGTAAGTAAATTTCTTAATTTTTTTAAAAAGTCAGCATATTTATAGTCTATATTTATGTAGGTTTATATGTCTAACATTAAATGAAAATCCCGTTCATGAACAACTATTACCATACACACTCTTCATTCAAGTAATCGTGTAGTTTAGGCTCTGCTCAGTAAATATACTATAACAGATCTTTTAAATTTACTTAAGGGTAATCCCAGCATATCCTTTATCGTATTGTAATTTTTTTACCTATTCCCATAAAAGACCCATTGACTTTTTCTAGATAGATGAGTCAGGACTACTCTCTGTTTATGTCTGATGGCATCAAGTTCATTTTATACGTTGCGATTACCATCTTGCATGTCATTTCCATATTAAATACTAGTTGCGTATGTAACGTACGCTCGGCGTACATGCAATAGCGTGGTAATAGCTGACATTTCGTCAACATTTTTATCGTTTTTACGGTAGAAATTATGTGTTTTAGAGTCAATCTAATAATTATCGTCATTTTCCAACACTCATTTCGTTTATTAAATGTAATGATCATTCGTAAATGACGTAAAATTTATTGATTTGACGGTTTCTGTAATCTAGCGGTTTTCGACAACTCGTTTACTACTACTACCTTACTTTCTAATTGGTTTAGGTGTTTTCTATATATTGTGTGTAGTTAAAAAGTAATATACTTATATATTTCTTAAGAAAAACGTTGTCCAATTAGTAGCCATAGTACAAGCTCAGCTTTAGAAACTAGAAGGCGCTGTGTGAACTGTCAAGGCTTATTCAAATGCATGTCAGTATTACCCTATAACACGCGATGTGTACTTATTAGGTACGTAAGTATGACTCAGTGAACAATTGCATCGCATGCATTTATCCATAATTATCGCAGAGCAACCTTCTTCTAGAGGTGTTCGTAATCTAACATCGATTATCTCTAAAAACATCGATGTCGACATCGATCTGTAACTATCGATGTATAATAAATATTACTAAATACTTTAAAAGTTTTTATAGGGATTTTACGATTACTATTTGATAGTTTAGAATGTAGTGTGAGGGGTATCACCTCACTGTTGTGTGGAATACAGATATATTAAAGTAAGTACCATGTAGGTACAAAAGTAGGGGGATATGATAAAATAATATCCTTTTTTATATTCCGATAAATCGACTAATTAAATGAACAAACGATATTTTCCACAAGTGATTTTTAATACTGCGATGCAAAAAAGCAAGAACCCAGTGGCTTAAAAAACAATCATAGTCACCTTGAATACTATACTGTGCCAAAAAGTTGCCTAGTTCGTATGTTTAAGTGGTGTGATGTTAATTTAAAAAAAAACAACTATTATTCTGTAATACGCGATATCGATAAATAAATAATCGTTTTTACGTATTATAGCACATTGCTAGTTCAAAGTATTGATAGGGTTCGGTTAAAATTAAATGTATATATTGGTAAGTTAGCAACCCTAGTAACTCGACATATACAGACACACTAGTCGAGTGTTATTCAATCATGCGCGAGATCCGCATCCTTGCTCGGCAAGTGGGGTTCTTTACGAACAGCATCCTGGTGCTGGCCGTGACTCAAATAGCGTGAAATAATATAGGTATTTATCTTACGTCATTCCCGATTTAGTACTATGTAGGTTTTTTGCAAATTCCATTTTATTTAGAGGCAATTTTTAAGGACATGTCGGCCCCATCCTAACCCATATACCTGCATATGCTATACAACGAAATAAATATGTTACGATAGAATCAGTAACACAGAAAATGGTCATTTTTAATACGCACTGCCAAAGAGTGAAACACACGTCCAGTTTTCGTATTCCCGGAGAAATACAACCCTAGTATCTTCAAGTTTACGGTGAATAGATTTCGTTTGGCAAACGCGCTACATTCTACGTCTCGCCTTCACTCAGAATCCAAACAGATAAGGTAAGCACAAACCCATTAATAATAAACAAAAAAACATAATTATGATATAACAATGATTGCAATATCTGAATGTGGGTTTTGCTGGTATACTTACGGTATGATACATACGTATACATAAAAACCCCATACCCTGCCTACACAGATTGTATTTCTGTATCAAAACACCCTCTATTTTATATTTTTTACATTCTCTCAGCATATGTTGGCCATCACCTAATTAATGTTATACAAATGTTACAATCAGTTTTTTTATTGATGACAATTGAATCATCCACTTGCGCTGACGGATTTTTCATGGTGGAGTACCAGTAGAGGATGATAAGACGAGCATGAGTCAGAATCTATCATGACGGTTTCCAGAGGGAAAACTCGAGAAACTCGTGGAGACATTTCACATTGCAATCGATCTCCTTCCCGCCATAGTAATAATTGCCACATCCAAATACCACAGAATCTTAGATTCAACAATCGGCTATTCAGTGTAGATATTGTCACTGAATAGACACTTATTGTATCTAAGATACTTATCGAATCGTATGTTTTTTGACCTGAGGTCAAGTTCAGTGAAGATATTGACAATCAACCAAACAGATAAAATATTTATGTAGGTTTACAAAAAACCATAGTTTATTTATTATTTATTTTATTTAATAATTTTTTGGACACTTGCACACTTGACGCACTTTGACTCGCTTTTATTTTCGACGCACGACGTGAAATACTGTTTTTTTTTTCAGATACAAATTACTCTGTATTTCCTGATACAATATTTCTTCATGTCTAAATTTCTTAAGATTCGTTTAATCGCAAAAAGGTTATAAATTGACAGTCAGAAGGATACGCTTTCGCATTTATAATATATATATGCTTAAACATTTTTTTCCTAAAAAATCCTTTCTTATAAAGTATGTGAAGATACGACACGCTCTTGGTCGCCTTTTTGTTTTCGACCTACAAGGCCAATATAAAGAAAAAACGCGATACCTGGGAGCAGGGCTGCCAACCGTATGAGGAACCCCGTACAAGTACGGGATTTAGGTTTTTGTACGAGAACATTGGCATCGTCGTACCAGACCTACAGATAACAGTCATATTACGATTATAAACAAATTAGGAAGCCAAACTGCGCTAATGTACGAGATTTTTGACTTCTTTACTACGGTTAAATGTTGAAGGTTGGCAATTACGGTCATGAAGAAATCAGAAAAACAATTCTTTACGAGGGTTAAATGTTTGAAAGTTGGCAACCCTGCTTGGGAGTTTGAAATCTGTAGCACAAATTAATAATAGTGCTCTACGTAACATCAGCAACGTCGTTTTACTCATAGAATAATATTTTTATGTTTGATGGCTTAGATTACTTTAGATAGTTAGAAAATGGTATAATATAGGGATGCAGATGATGATTCTCGGATAGAGGTGAGGATGTTTCACAACTAGGTTCTTTCGATATATTCTATACATTCATTATATATACATATATCTATGTTTCTTCAAACGTAGGAGTAACTAAGTAAGCAAACGAATAATATATTTTATGTTTATGTTATCGATATATTAAATTCTGTATCAAATAGTAGGAATCTCTTGTTTAGTGTCTTTTTGATACTTTAATAATATCGTTAGTCGTCATGATTGAAGCAGTGGGCAAGAATTTAAACGCCTGGAAGGGGTAAATGCAACTTACGAACTATGCAAACAATATGATCATTCTGTTTTACATTTTTTAGTAAAATATTTAATACAATTGTTATTTATGAACGTCGTAGATTTCTTAAGAAGATATTACTTAAAATTTTTGTATCGTAATTATTTTAATTTTTTGTAGGTAATTGAAGAAAAAAAACTTCCGGTTTTAGTCATTTCAATTTTTTATATAAATTTTGTTAATCACTTGTCTGAACGGACATAGTTATAGGAAGAGATTAAAAGTGGGCGTGAGCTAGTGTATTTTATACTTATATTTGTTTTTTTTAGAAACATTGCGGGAGCTAGTCTCAATAATTCACAACGCAATACGCGACTGATTTTTTATTATAAACGTAGGTATAAACAAAAATAAATTATTGAAGTACCAGTGATATAATATATATCAATATTGAGTTGGTTTTACAGATTCACGGTTATTGTAATTAGGTAGGTACTACGTGATCTCCCTAGATGTTTAACATTCATTTTCTTTGTACAAATTTTTGAATTAATCTTATAGTCATGTTTAATATACAGAAAATAAATACTTCTATATAGATATTAACCGTTTAAATTAAAAAACATCCGAACACATTTCGTCAGCTACATTCATCAGGCCATTTGGCAGTCATTTGGTATAAAATTGAATGGGTTACATTTCTGAATAAACCCGTTCGTGTTTTTTGAGTCAACTTGTGACCGGCCACGTAGGGTAACCGTTTCACCGTCCGCTGACCACAGCGAGGCACCGCTGCGGGCGTCTACCGTAACCTTTCATACCACACTCGAACCGGTTCCAAACCCCAGCCTCTGGTTATAACAACAGACACTCACCGCCACGACCAGGTTGAAGAAAAACAGCACATATTTCACAAAACTCGTTCCACATCCCATCGTGAATGCACTGATTCACAATTAATTCACAAGCAAGTTGTCACACGCGGATTTACTTGTTTATTCGTTGGTGGAGCGACGCACACCCGTCGTTGCCAAGTGTTAAATCCTACTAAGTTAGAAAATAAAAGAGGGGATCGCGATGGCGACGCGTCCCCCCCGCGCCTCACAGGTTACAAGACTCATGACCCCTCATTCACCTTTCAATGCAACCGATCCACTCGCACCTACCGAAACATATATTTTCGTCCCATTCTTAGATTTCATCTCACTCACTGTAGACAAGACTGTATTTACGATTTTACTGGACTAGTCACGGACTCTTGACTGATTCTGTAAACAATCATTTCGCAGTATTTTCTGGGGTTATACACCATCTTGGTTTTTACGTACTTTCTTGATGTAAAAATATTGATTTAGTTCTTTTTTTGTAAGTGGGCCGTAGATGTACTTCACTGGACAAAAATGCGAGCACTCCAAACCCGCAGATGGACTTATGGAGTGGTTGGAAGCGAACTCCTGCCCGACGAGGTTCAAATCTCGAACCCCGACTTTATCTTTTCAAGACTAAACACATGTTAATAAAATTGGACTTGAAGATAGATTGTGTCGTGATGACCGACATTGGGAATCTTTAATGTCAAAAAATATTCTGATAGGGGTTGAAATGTTTTTGCAGACGAAGTGGTATTATATGTAAACAGGCAATTCCTTGATTCATATCATATTATTATATAAATATTAGTCATTGATGAATTTGTTAGTCAGTAACTTAAGTGGCAATCCAGCTTTTGATAAATCTTATCACAATGTCAGAACTGCTTATCAGTTTGTTTATTTAAGAATAATGAATTCTTTGCACATCCAGTTCCTTCATCATCTTATCGCAAGAACTACTGGACGCATTCGAATGCGATAGATCATATCGGGATACCTCAAACATAAATCGAGCTTCGCCTCGAGATTTATAGGTATAATATATAAAATCGTATGTCAACATAAATATATAATAAATTACCTGATATGATGAAAAAAGAAAATATGTATAAATAAATTATATTTTAGAGTTGATGAACATTGCAAGATGCTAAAGAATAATAAAACGTCCGCCTGTCTTCCACGTTGCTATACCTAACAAGGTGCATATTATGCCCGTGAATTTACCATATCATAATTGTGTAATGTAACATAAGTAAATAAATATTTTTTCTAATATGACTGAACACGCGAATTAATATTTTGGGTTTTACAATATTAAATTGATAAAGTCCCTGAATAATAGATTATCTCATACAGCTTCCATGTACCTACACGGTTACATTTATTTTTATATATATAGATGTGTTGGCAACTCCAATAAAAATATAGTTCTTAAAACCTCATTAATTATTTTATAATAATATTAAACTGTATGTCTAACTGTATATCTTTTGTTTCTGTACTTCTTCAATATTATATCGACATTATAATAAAATATATGATTACAATTTAATTTACAATTTTGTTGTTTTATAATTGAATTATATGATATAATGATATGATGAATAACGATTACATCCACGCACCTCGTTGAAATTCATACAGATATGTACTTTCCGACTTTTATGTAAGTTTTAAAGTTAAAAGTGTAGTTTATCAACACTACGAGGCATTTAGCACTTGCAAAAAGTAGACGTCGTGCTTGGACCATAAAACAACGTAGAGAGAAAGTCCGTGCGGACCAGGGATGTCAACCATATAAAATTCTTCTAAAAGTACTTGAGGTACTGGTACCAGGAAATCTTCAAGGTTTTGACTTGTGAAAAATAATAAAAAATTGCCACAATTACTTATTATTTTTGATCAACTTTCAATTTTTAGCCACCTAATTTAGTAAAACACCATACTAATAAATATGACATTGTAGTGCGAGGTTGAAAAGCTAAATGAAAGATATATAAATACGTAAAGGTTTTTTTTTATGGATGATAATGGGATGGTGTTCCCGCCTGCGCTAACGGTTTATGCTGGCGGGGCACCAGTGGAGGATGATAAGATGAGCATGAGGTCAGGTCAGTTAGCCCATCGTGACAAATTCACCAGGAATTTATCACGATGGTTTCCAGGGGGAATCGCGTGGAGGTCAACCTGACATGGTACATTGATAGTACTGGGTTCATGGGTCCACATTACTAACAAGCCCCTTCCTCCAATACGTAAAGGTTGGTAGTAATCGTACAGATGTTGCTTGTTGGGACCGGCCTGCTCTAATCAAATTCAAATTAAATGGTTGCCAAAGCATAATTGCAGAGTGTTGCATATCCTGTGCACTCTCTCTCTGTAATTTTTGATCATTCCTCATATCTCCCTCTTATCTGAAAGATACAGTCATTCAGTTCATCAGCAACTATTCCCGTACTCTTCACTTATCAAGTAAACACCTTCACTCACTCTCGAGTTGTCTAATTCATTTACAGTTAGTGTGATTAACTGATTAGTCATTGGAATAAAATACTATATTTAGGTTAGATACGTAAAGCATTGTACAAGTCCATTTTTTAAAATGGTTATTTTTATTCGAATTTGAATCATCCAAATGAGTAATACCTAACTAAACTAACTCAATGGAATTATCAGTATAGTTCTTTTAACTATATTTGGCATATGTACTCTTATTCATTTATTCAGTATGATACAATTGTTATACATAATATTTATTTTTTATATTTATATGTTAATTATTATATTATCTATTTGTATAAACATCGTTTATATAAAATTTTGACTCATTTTGCCGCCATGACTGTTCCACAACGCTTACTGTTTATACCAGAAGGTTGGCTGTTGAAAAATGCCATACAACATTAAGCTCGCCTTTGGTGCAAGTTTTATTGTGCAATTAAAAAACTGATAAGGTAATCAACTGTGATATGACTAATACAGTTGGATAATCAACCAACTTGGTATATAAATCTATGCTATATAATATTACAAAGTAAAGAGTTTGTTTGTTTATTTGAACGCGCTAATCTCGGGAACTGCAAGTTCGAATTGTTATTTTTTTTTGTGTGGTATAGTCCATTTGCCGAGGACGGCTTTAAGCTACATACGCTGCGACTAATAGAAGCGTAGCATCAGTGAAAAATGTCGCAAAAACGGGGAAAATTATTCATGTTTGAGGGCTTCTGTTGCGTGCGCTGCGTAAACGGTTCAAGTTACCCAAAAAATATGTACGAAAGTGTTATTCCTCTTTAAATTATGCAATCATGGCATGAGAAAATCAGTATGTTCTTCTACCACAAGAAAATAAAACTAAAAATATTATTTACGTAGAAGTACATTAAAATATATTCTTTTAAAAACTTCTTAATCGCGATCATAATAGCAGAAATTGACGTGGACGAACTTGCGGGCAATCAAAAAATAATCGCAATAATGTTTTTGATATCCACACGAACGAAGTCGCAGGCTACTTGCTGTATATTAAATATAATATTTTGAATCTTATGATTTTACTGTATGGTTTTCCCCATGCTTCTTAACTATAAACTACATTCCGAATGTGGTAAATAAAAAAGATGACTATTCGAATGTGTTTAAAATTAACATTATTTGAATTAACATTAATTCTATTCTATTTTTTGTACGAGATAAAAAGTTTTAAGGTTGGCAGCCCTGCACTGGACCCCGCACAATACCCGGTGTCCACTTTCCAATTGGTACCTATAGTGCCCTTTATGTGGGAGTTGTTTTAAAGCATGGCTGAACCATTTAATGACATATAAGTACATAAATTACCATATACCATTGTAAACGCATTGTGTTTTTAACATACTACAACTATTCATACACGTATTAAATTATCACGTAAAAAACGACTTTAATAGACAAAAAACTAGGATAGTTTTATTACAGTATCATCTTCGTCACACAGTGCCATCTAGTCCCAATTTAAGCTAGCTAAAGCTTGTGTTATGGCTATTAGATAACTAATACAAATATAGAGATACTTATTTTCGTAAATACATACATATAATATTATATATAGAAAACACCCAGACCGATACAAACAATCATGGTCATGAATACAAATGTTTGTGCCGTGTGAGGAATCGAATCCGCGACCATCGGAAGTAAGGTCGTGTATTAAACCGCTAGACCACCAAAGTCGTCAATCATTGTCATTCATGATCTGATTGAGGTAAACTTTGTATGAAGTCGTGTTTTGGTTAAAAGTTGAACATAAATGAAATTACAGGATACGAAGGGATCATATCTTAATCGATCGACTGATTTAAACTTTTATCTACAAATTTATAAATTAATACGGATTGTTTCGATTCAGGTTCCGATGAAATACTTTGTAAATGCCTACGTTAATTTTGTTCAAATTTATTTCTTTCGCATTCTATCAACAAATGTTGAACATCATTAATACAACTATAAGTTTTGCCAGATGTATTTAGGTTGAAGGGTAAAGCAGTGGCACAGAGGCGTTAAATCTCCTCAGGAATAAATGTACTACGGGCTCTAATGATACTCTAATGATAACGTGTGTTTTACAGGATACACTTTGGCCAGTATGCACAAGACCTGCGTAATTTGATCTTGTCATCCCCTTTTTATCACCGAACTACTCGGCTAACACTAGAACTTCATGCTTACGTCGTGGAAATTCCACTTATTTGCACTGAGCGGTTCGCGTCATCATTTTTAATACGCACTGCCAATGAGTGGAACACATTTCCAGCTTTTGTATTCCCGGCGAAATAAAACTCATATAAGATTCTTCTCTACAAGTCTATGGTGAACAGAATTTCTTCTGAGTAAACGTGCTACATTCTAAGTCCTGACATAATTCTCCACCAGATGAGGCCAAGGGGCCATTTATAGACCCATTTGTACCAATAAAAAAAATTGTGAATGTCGTGGTAATGTTCATATAATATACGTTTACCACCTACCATTAGATTGAACATCAGCTTTTTAGCTATGCCAGTTGGTACATAAAAATAAATTCAATCATTTGAAAATTTTCCAATCGGCTCATGACGTGTTGTTACCTATACAACGCATCATCATTATTGTTAGAGCAATCTACATTGCACAACAATTAGTTACGTCTCAGGTATTAAGCATCGTGACGTCATTGTTTCAT